CTTCGAATATCTGGAAAGAGAAGGCTTCAGAGGAATGCAAGTTCATAGCGTAATGCCATCTCTCACATTTCCATCACATTTCGCCCTTGTCACTGGTCGTAACGCAGAAAATCACGGTTTGGTTGGCAACACATTTTATGATTCGAAATTAAAGGACAACTATATATATAAAAATTCGACAAAACAACTTGAGTCCAAATGGTTTGAATATAATAATAACGAACCAATTTGGCTTTCCGTCCAAAGACATGGAGGAAAATGCGGAGTAATGTACTGGCCAGGCAGCGATGCACGAATAAACGACAAAATGGCATATGTGAATTATGGTCTCTATAGCACCGTTCCAAGTCTTAGATTCCGTGTTGACCGCGCAATGGATTGGATATCTAAACCAGATGTTAATTGTGTTCTGCTTTACTTCAACGAACCCGACTCTTCAGGTCACAACAGTGGTCCAAATTCCCCAAAAGTGCTTAGTGCGATTGAGAAATGCAATGATGGTCTGGCATATTTAATTGAAAGAATTAATGAATCTAAGGACCTCCCTGAAAAACCAAATATTATCGTCACTAGTGACCATGGAATGACAAAGGTCAATATCAGTGTAGTCGTACCTATACATGAATACTTACCTCTTAAGGAATATAGGAGTGGAGTGGATGGTTCACCTGCGACATTGGGTATCTGGCCGATCCCAAATGGTATTTGCATTTCATTTGTCCTTTAATTTATATAAAATGAATTTTGAATTATTTCATTTATTATCTCAGGACCGACTGTGGATGAATTGTACGAAAAAGTGAAAAAGGCGGAAACTGAATTTGGACATTGCAAGGTTTATAAGAAGGAAGAAATTCCAGATGAGTACCATTACAAAAACAATGATCGTGTTGCACCGATTGTGGTGATTGCCGATGAGGGTTGGATGATTCTATCAGATAAGGACGATCCATATACTGGAAGTCTAGGTATATCTTTGAATTCTTTCAGGTATTTTGCTTGTGCTTGGTTTTATCTCACAATGATGCCTATTTATTTTTAGCTGGAATGCACGGATACAATAACTCCAACACAGATATGCATCCATTCATTATTGCTGCTGGACCTGGCATCAGGAAATTAGGCAGAGTGGACCGTTTCTATCAGGTTGATGTTTATGCTCTGGTCCTTCTCCTCTTGAAATATTATATGCCTGCCGTTGTGGACAGCGATGTCATGCGAGTTGCTACCTTTGTGAAGACCATACCTTCGATGGATGTGCTCAAACAGTTCGACAGATATGCTAAAGGCCTTGATCCCCTTCCTGATGCTTCTTCAATGCTTGAAGGTAACTGATCTGTTGCTTATTTCACCACAACTTTCCATGTCACATTTTTCTAAGTTGTTGTATTTTCCTTTTCAGCCAATACCTTCTTCATTCTTATTCTATTGCTGGTTATTCAGTTTATCTTGAGACACTAAATTTAATATATAGTGTATGAAATATTTGATTCCCTACTAAAATCTTACAAATTAAAGTGTTTTGCATTCTTTGATTTGGATTTGGGGGTTATCATTCAGCAATTCATATAAAAGAATGGAGTAATGGCCCTTAATTATGGAGCTCATTGACACTTATTCAAATAAATTAAGTCAATGCTAACTTTGACATAAAATTGTGCATTTTTAATAAATAAATTCAACAAAAGACAATGTGTCTGGAAGCGGCAAAAAGTAGCTGTTTTTCCAAAATCTCTGTTAAACCGTTAAGGAAAAAATACTTTTTTCAAATCTATGAATGATTTATTCTAAACCTAATTCTTATTTAACCCAGAAATCTAATTTCTAGACTCGTTTATAATCACTTCATTAAAATATGTTATCTGAAATAGGGTATTTTAATAACTTTGTCATTCATTAAATTACATTTTCGCTTAACGTCTTCTACTCGGAGAACAATACAACCAGTAAACCCGAGTTTTTTAATGAATTTATTTGCAAAAATAATCGAATACAGCTTTTTAAGTATAGGAAATTAGGGCTGGAAGGTTCCATCAGCGTATTTGCGGAACTGAGTCAAGAATTCTTCACTCGGTGGGTTTTTCATGAATCGTAAGACACGGTCAATTTTGCCATCTATTCGATTGGGTTTGTCCAATTTCAAAAGGGCACAGACGAGTGGATAAAAGTCGATTTGGAAGAAGGACTGTCTCTCAGTGAACTGCTCAATATCAGGACCAGATGCCACCATAAATGGATTCATTTCTGGAAACTCATTGTCATATCCATGCATACCATCTATTAGTGAAATAAAAGAGAATAATAAATTAATATTTCAATGGTGGAAAAAAATAATAAATAAAAAAATTACA